AAACTAGCCAAGACAACTTAAAGAACAAGGTGTCAGTGGAGGGGAGGGGGAGGTGGGAACATTTCTCTACCAAATAATGAAGACTCGCTATAAAGACTCCCTATAAAGCTAGATCATTGGTGAGGACAGAGCAGATCAGACAGCTAGGCATGTATGAGAAGGATGGCACCATGGACAGGCTGGGCCAGCTTGGCATCCTTAACCTGGGGTGGGAAGGTCTGTGCCCTGTGGGGAAAGGGGCCTCTACTCGTTAGGGTAGGATAGGTCACGCTGTGGAAAACACAAGCCCCCAAACTCAGCGGCTCCACATCTCAAACCGATTCCCACTCCTATTACATGTCTGGCGCAGATGGGTGGAGGGGCCCTGCCCGTCACTGGCTATCTGATGACCACGGCAGAGCCCTCTGCACGCCATGCCATTAGTCACAAGCTGACTTGAGAGTCAATGTAAAAGGCAAAACATTAAAACTGGGAAATACAGGGTAATGTCTTTTTACCCTCAGGCAGGCAAAGATTTCTGAAATAAGCGTTCCCAGCATGTTCTGCTACTGTGGCCTGGAGAGGCTCTGCACCCCACCACTTGGCGATGCCCAAAGGGTGCTCACCATAACATTGTTGGAAATTGCAAAAATGAAAAACAAGAAATCCATCTTGGGCATTATTATGGGCAAACTGTGTCCCCCCCGCGACCTCAAATTCACCTGAAGTTGAAGTTCTAGCCCGTACCCTCTCAGAATGTGACTCTATTTGGAGACAGGGCCTCTAAAGAGGAAATTAATGTTAAATGAGGTCATATGGGTGGCCCCTAATCCAATAGGACTAGTGTCCTTATAAGAGGAAATTAGGACAGGCACAGAGACAACCATGTGAGGACACAGGGAGCAGATGGCCATCACAAGCCAAGGGGACAGACCGCAGGAGAAACAACCCTGCCAGCACCTTGATCTTGGGCTTCCAGCCTCCAGAACTGGGAGAAATACATTCTGTTGTTTAAGCCCCGCAGCCTTAGTAAGCTCACAGGCATCTTTCCACGGGTATTGATGCAGGCCTGCCCCCACTTTGGCGACAGGTTAGGGTCACTACTGAGCATCAGGTTCACCTTCTCCATGCTGACAGCCCCACCCCACGGGAGGATTAGCCGCTCATCCCTCAGAACTCAGGTGTGGTTTGGCAGCTTCCTTTGGCCACTGTAATGGAAAAGGAGGGATAAGTATCACTTGTGGTTCACTGTGATCTTTCTCCTGCCTCTGTGGTTGTGGAGAATGCGTCCAGTGAACTCCTGTCAGCACAGGTCCTCTGCAATGGGCAAGGGCCACCCCAGCTGGTCTGTGACAGATGAGTAGTGAGACGTGGGAGGTTTTGACTGCAGCACAATCTGGCTCAACCTGACTGATGTTACAGGACAACAGCTCTATTTACCTCACTCCATACTATGGGGCCTTTGGGCTGTTTCCAGCTTTGCTGTTAATGCAGTGAGTGCCCACTAGGCACTTGACAGGGCTCCAGCCACTGCACAGGCCTTATCTCATTCGATCTTCCCAGCACCTTATGAGGTCAGGTGACACCACAGACCATGAGCTTGCAAGTGGAGGCAAGGTGTGACCAAGCTCAAGTCCATGCTCTGAAGGCCCACACTGAGGAAGAACAACAGCCATCTGCACATAGGCAAGTGGTCAGGGTGTGTGTACTTAGAAATGTTACGTGGGTGAACTGTAGTATTTGATATTCCCACCAACAGCAGGAAAAAGCCTCTTTCTCCATACCTTCAGCAATTCTGGATACCTAGAACTTTTAAAGTTCTGGGATCACAGGCAGGAAAAAAAAAAAAATCACCCATACCTCCCTGTAGTACTTTTGTTTTTAAATATTGAAATTTTTAATCCATCTGGAGTGGAGCCTGGCACAGAGTGAGGTGGGTATCCAGTTTTACTATTTTCCAGATGGCTAACCAGTTGTTCCAACTCCTTTTACTAAATAATCCATTTCACCCCCATTAATTTGAAACAATACCTTCAGTATGAACTAAATTCCTGCATTTATTTGGCTTTATTTCAAAGTTTTCTGTTCTCCTCTGTTCATCCATCCACACCAATTCCAAGTACTTTCATTATTGCAGCTTTATAAAAAGTTCTCTCATAGGACCGTATCCGTAATACTTCTGGTGTTAAATTTTCCTTGGAGACATGGACTTTAAAAATCCTTCCGTAGTGCCCACTGTGTCCTATCTTTAGGAAATAAAATCTCCAGGTTATTTCCAAGGCCAAGTATGGGACGGGCATGATGATCCGGTAGGCAGACCCCAGCACATCGGCCAGACCCTGAGCAGAGCCAGCAAACCCTGCCAGATTGTCCTGCTCCCAGGAGCAGCCTCCTCTAGCCCACCTGTGTGTGAAGAGCTGGGAGTGGCGAATGACCCAAGGATCTTCCTCCCGTCATGCATGGCAGGGCCTCCTCTGCTGGCTCTCTGTTCCTTCTCCTCGCGCAGAACAGGAAAGCAGCTAGGTCATTGCATCTGCCCAAAGAGAGGGCACAGCAATGGCTGCCAATGAAACTGTCACTCTGCAACACCATATGCACTGCCTATCTGCAAGGCCATGCCAGAGCCCTCCCATCCTCTCCTGATCCCACCTGCAAGGGCACCCAAGAACTGGCAACCTTGCCTTTGCCTCTAAGGCCCTGCCCTCGTTTCTTTTCCTTTGTGATGAGAGCCCAACCACAATAGGGCCCATTTTCCAAATTAAAAGACAGGTCATCTGGCCTCACCGCAGATCCCCTTGGGCCTGCCTTGGGAGAGCTGGCCCTGAGGAGAGGTATGCCAGACTACAAACCAAGCTGGCAGGAGCTGTCTGGGGCCCAAGGGAGATGGTAATGGGGGGGGGGGGGGGGTCAGAAGGGAAGATGGCAATCTTGAGCTGAAAGGGATTCACTTCAAGTCCACTAATGTAGATGAGAAAGGTGTCCTGCACAGAGGCCAGCAACAGTGGGGATGTCAACTAAGTGACTGGGCCATCACTCCAGAGAGTAACCCCAGGTTCTCTTGTCAGAGACATCTTACCAACTCAAAAGATATGGCCAACAATATCAGACCCACTGGCAGGCCAGTGGGTGGGGGTGGGAAGCAGTCTGAGCTGGGTTTGAAAAAGGAGGGTCCAGAACTGACCAATAGTGTGGAGGGGCAGCAGTGCATCTGGGGCTGAGTTACAATGTGCAGGGATTTCCCACACTTGATCAGAATCAAGACTGCACAGTGATTTCTTCAGTTAGCTTGCTTGTTTGCTTTTAGGGTTATATCAGCTTCCCACTTATTTCTAAGACTTGCAACTGTTTTATTTACAAGGCATCTGTGCCTTAAAATAGCTCACGCATAAAACCATCCTGAACCAGAGCCTTTTAAAGTGACAATTACTGAATAATCCCAACATGTCTATTTTAAAAATTTTTACCAGATGTTTATTACTAATTTTTCTCTAAAATAACTAGTTTTAGTAGCAGTTCACATTTCCATTTATTTTTTCTTCCTACTTTCTAGGAAAGTGTTTCCACAATTATAAAACTGAAGAGACTTGACATTCTTGTCTAATTGTTCCTCTGGGTAGGTACACTGTACCCATCCTGTGTTAAATTTGGCTTAAGGGAGCTTCTGGGCCCAGTTCTCATTATTAGAAAACCCATCCTTGTACAGTACAGGTCTTTTTTCATTCCAATCCTCTGGCCCCTGGGCCTCATAGCTCTGGTCTGCTGCCTGCTCCTCACTTCACCTCCAGCTCTAGGAAGTCAGTTCTCAAAACTACACTCTACCTGCCAGTCCTAACTCCGTCCTTCAACCTGACTCTTCAATTCTCAAAGCCCCCACCAGAAACCACACCTCCAACACCGACCTAGAGCACTCATGGCTAGGGCCTAGCCTGTTCCCGACAGAACAGGCAACAGTGTTCCGGCTAACAAAATAAGGGTCTGCTCATCAGCAGCCACCACACCACAAGCTGAGCCATAAATTCAACATATGTTTAATGAGTACCAAATTGTGTACCAGGGATGCAAAGCTGATCAAGATGGAGCCCCTGCCCTAGGGGCTCACAGTCTACCCAAAGATACAAGTCATTTATAGTGTTATGGTTTAAGTGCTGAGTCAGCAATGTGTAAGAGTGGGCAGGGAGGCAGGGACTGCTGAAGAGCAGAAAGTGGGAGGGCAACATGGGCAAAGGCACTGAGACACAGAAATTCATGCCAACTTCTGAAGAAAACCAGGCATAACTGCAATCTTAATATACAAAAGGGGAAAATGCCTGACACTGAATTAGACTGGCAAGGAGGTCTGTATCTCACCTCCCTGGTTGGCCAAGGCTGCTGGTAAACCCATAGGGAAGCATCTTTCTCTGCCATCCCACTCATACTAAATGATCAAAGTGGCTGCTTCCTCCATGCAGCCTTCCTTAAATTCCAGCCCAGAGGACAGAGGTCACAGGGAGCCAAGATGGGGACGGGGGCCAAAGCAGAGACACCATCCAGGGACAGATCCAAATAGGGCTGACATGGCAGACCTAGTCCAGCCAACATTGAACAAAGGGCTCTGGGGAGTGGAGCGGTTATAAAGACATACAAATATCTGATGAGGACTGCTGTATGAAACTCTGTCCAACCAGTGGAAATGCAGCTGAGGAGGCAGCTTCTGGGCCACTGGGGAAGTCAGAGGATGAGAGGCACAGCATAGAGCCCAATATTCTGCTATAACAGTGGTGGGGTGGTGAAGGAGACAAGGGCTCACAGCAGAGCCCAAACAGGTGCACCTCCTGCCCAGCAATAAAACAAGTGGATATGGCAATATCTGGGAAAGCCACCCCATCCTGTTGAAGGGCTGTGGGGGTCCTCAACTATGTAGGCCACTCTATCACAAGGAGCACTGCTGCATCTGCCTGGGCTGTGTCCAGAATCCAGGGCTGTGGGGTGGGGAGTGGGGAAACTGTTAGGTCTCCTGGGGCCTCTGAGGTGTTCACCACCCACTATGGGGTACCTAAGGATGTCTCCTGGTCTACCTGTCTCAGAAACCTCCTCCTCTGTCTTCTGGGGTTCTGGACCCCCTGGTGGAACTGGATCTGGTTTCTGAGCAGGCAGGTTAGCAGATCCTGAAAGTACAGGGACAGATGTAGGGGTCACCTCCCCTGGCTGGGACGAGGTTGGCCCCACAGGACCAGGATCAGTGCTGCATGTAAAAGTAGACAAGGTGGAGGACTCCATAGACCCAGGGCTGTTCTCCTTGGCCCACTGCTGTTCAGGGAGAGTATTTCTGGATGTCGAGTTGGAACTGCAAAGAGCAGGGGTGGCCACAGCAACTGGGACAGCACCCATGTTGAGTGCCAGGGCCTCTGAGTACCTAGCTAAGTACTGCTTCACCACAGGCAGCTCTGGAGGCCACTGGTGGCTGGATCGAGGCAGGAAGCAAGGTGCTACAGCATGGTACTCAGTGAAACTGTTCGGATCTTGAACAACTTCCTTGAGATCCTGGCAGAAGAGCTCATAATTGTCAGGAAGGGGCAGGTCCCCATCGACGTAGGGGGCTGCCCACACCTGGGCTCAGTCCATCAGGTGCCCTAGGATCTCGAAGATGCAGGTGAGGTTGTCCTGATAGTGCTCAAAGCAAAAGGACATATTGGTCCAGAAGACCTGGGGAGCCATCAGAGGTGCGTGGGTATGAGACTGGCACCCAGTAGAAGTCCACCCTGGGGGCCATGGGCCAGGCATGTGCAGAGCCGGGGGCCCCCTTTCTGTGGGCTTACCGCCGGGAGCACTAATGGCCGTGTTCTTCTGCTCCAAGGTTGTGCGTGCACACACAGGGTCCCCATAGCAGGGCCGCTCAATGCAGGGATCCACTAGGGGGGGCATATGTGACCCCAGGAGAGACCTGGTCCATCTGCTGCCAAGGGTGTGCGTTGGTGTAATAGGCTGCTGCCCGGATGGGATTGCAAGGGCCCTGCCAATGGTGCCGGCCAAGAGGCATGCTGGGAACAGAGGGGAGTTGCCACATCGACTATAAGAGGAAGAAGGAAGAAAGGAAGAGACAGCGCAGCGGGGAGGGTGGGCATGACACAACAGGACAGAGATGGGCTGAAAAGGGGTGTGGCAAACCCAGGCATTCCAGGCAAGTGCTGAGGGTCAGAGGAGCTGACAGCTGTGGCCTCAGGAGCGCTGAGAAGAGCTGATGGGACTGTCAGATGCAGGCCACCATCCAAGGCAATCTGTCCAAAAACAAGGTGGGGAAGAGCGGGAACCAGGCCCAACCACCTCCACTGGGCAGCAGGAAGAGGCACTAAGCAGGCAAACCCCAGGTACCCAACCAGGAGCTCTGAGTGGAAGGAGGCCCAGGAGGCAGGGCTGGGAGGTCTGAGAAGGTGGGCAAACGCCACGTGTGATGTTTCATGGGCAAGGCGTGATGGCAGATGCTGTCAGTCCCAGGAGAAGGAAAGGGGGCCAGATTGGAACCCCCAGGGTTTCCTTGGATGGGCTGGCTGGCTGTCAGGGAGTTTCAGGAGAACGACAGTAGCTACCTTTTACTGAGTGCTCTATCTGTGCCAAACACTGACCCCCTGAGGAGGCTGGTACTCTCATCGTACCAGAGGCAGAGTGGTGAGTGAAGTCACTTGTCTGTGGCCACAGACAAGTTGGCCACCAACCACCAGTAAGTGATGGAGGCAGCTGAACCTGGCTCTAAAGACCACAGCTTAACCATCACACATGACCATGCTGGTTATGAACTACCTTTCAATCCACTAAGAAGGAGTCACCTAGTCACCCCAAACACTGTGACTGTTAAGTAAGTAGACAGTGTCACAAGATCCTTTAACATCAAAGCACTAGGAGCTTGGAAGGTGCTACCTTTCTGCCCAACAGTAGCCTAGGGACCTGCTATTCTCTGTGCCCTCCAGCCTCCCACCCGTGCTTTCCAGACTCACCTCACCACTCAAGAGTGTAGCCTGCTGGCAACGCCACCCCACCCCAAACACCACCTCCCTGCGTCCCCATTCCTATCAACAGCCCAGCATCCAAACCCCCAAGTTTAATTCCACTTGCTACGTCTTCTTTCACCACCCCAAAGTCACTGCTATAAAGGGCCTGGAGAGCAGTGGTCATCAACCCTGAGCAGCCCAAAGAGCCCCACAGTGGAAAAGGAGGCTGCAACCATCACCAGACACAGTTCCCTTCCAACGCTAGGAGCCCTCTCCCAGGGCTCTCACACTGCCCAGCCTGATAGTGGCCACCTCCTCAGTCTCTCTGCAAAAGGAGGTCCACTCATAGCCACCACAGAACACACTCTGCAACCCCTCCACACAGACCCTGATGCTCCATCAACTCATGTTGGGCCACCACGGCCTGCACACACCTTTGTGCATAGTTGCCCATGTGTTTATCTCTCCTATCCCCATCAGAGTGAGTTCCTCCAGGGAGACACAGCTCTGCTGGTCTTTCTGCTGAGCACCTCCCAGGGTAGCCTGCAGCACTCAAAGCTGCTAGGGCCAAGAGCACTTACCTTTGCCACCCAAGAATTCTGGAACCTCTCAGGTACAGCCCTCACTCTGTGGGGGTTCTTCCACCTGAAAGCCCTTCCCATCCTAACACAGTAAAAGAATATGCCAGAGCAGTGCAGTGGCCCAAGGGGCGGCACACAAATGCAGTCCACTTGTGAGTCCAGTTCAGTCCCTCATCCAATTCTGAAAACCAGTGACTGCGAACCACACCCCAGCTCCTGCCACCAATCTGAGGTTAAGTGCCAGCCTGCATGCAAAACCCACATCCCATGCCCAGGAGACAGTGCACACTACCCAGGTCTCTGCCCTGGCTTCCTCCCAGCCCCAAATCCCACCCCCAATCAGAACCCTAGCTGTCCCCCTGCCTGCTCATCAGCATGCCTGTGTGGCCCCTGCAGCCTGAGAGAGAAGGCTCCCTTGCTCCACCCAGCCAGCCCTGACGGGCCTGAACCTTCCTAAGCCTGGGTCTCTTAACACTTTGGCGCCTTGGCTACCAGTCTGTTGACCTCTATCCCTTCTCTCCCCACACTAACACTGAGGAATTTGGGCCCTTCTCCTGGACTGCACAGCGCTCTACTCAAGGAGCACGTACCGGGACGCACGCGCATTTGCCTCCGCAAAGCCAAAAAGCACCGATAACGCTGGAGACGAGGGGCCCCGGGGATAGAATAACGTGCCCAAAGCCTCATAGCAAGTGGAGGGCGGACCACTGCACCACCCCTCCCGCAAACGCCATGCAGGAAACCGCCGGGAAATGAGCTCACAAGTCCCACTGCAAAAAGAAGCCGACCTACCTGAGGCTGCGCGAAGCGTCTGTGAAGAGGGTCCACGAGGATCTGCGGCTGGAGACTGCGGACCGGTCTCCCTCCCAGGGCGAGTCCAAGTGCCACCTAAAAAGTGCAGAACAATATCGGCCGCCGTGAGGCGAGGCGGGGCGCGGGGGCGACCTCCGAAGACCGCGGGAAGCACCCGAAAATGACTTCAGGATCTCCCCAGTCTGCGGCGCGGACCGAGAAACTGAGGCTCGCCGTTCGGAAGGACAGCTGGGACCCAGTCCGGGGACTCCGAGCGCTTCTCTGCGGACAGGGAGTTAGGAAGAGATGGAGGGGCGCGGCCCCAGCCGGCAGCTCGGGTTCCCGCCGCCCCCCTGACCCTCCGGCCGAAGATAGCTACACTGGGTCGAACCCGCTCATCTCTCAGAGGCTGAACACGTCGCGCAGCCACGCCCCCTGCGTGCGCGTGCCGCCCCATACGACGCACGCTGGCCTCCCCGCAGGGCCGCGCCTGCGCCCTGAGCCTTGGGGCCCAGGACCGCGCAGGCGCTTCCAGGCCCTGCCAGCGCAGCAGTGCGGCGCGGGGAGTCATGGGAGCGCGCTCAACCCGGCCGCGCTAGGTACCTGGAGCGTTTCAGGAGGCGTTCGCAGGCGTGGGACGGCCAGGACTGGCGGTGTCTCGCAGGCAGACGTGAAACGCGCTGGGGCTGAGGAACGGATAGCTGGAGGGACGGGCCGGGCACCCACCTAGCTCCCCCAGAGATGCTTGAGCGGAGATGTTTGAGCCATTGCCACTGTCCTCCATCAGCTGGGCATTGGGGCGCTACGGAACGTCAGAAGGGATGCTGGGGACAGAGGGCACCAGGGAGGGTTTGGGCATAGAGAAGCAGCAGCGCTTCCATGGAAAGTGTCTCTCACCACCCAGTGCCTGGTTGTACATACCTCCAGCCCAGGAGCTGGAGGGCAGGGCAGGGCAGGGCTGGCAGTGAGGACTCCCCACCTGCATGCCTAGGGGCTGGCAAGCCTCTGGGTTTTCTAGTGGGTGGGTTTGTGCTGCCTACCCCGGTCGAGGCTGGACCGAGAGAGGACAATGAGGGCAGGCTGCCAAGGCCAGGTTTGCTGCCCAGGAGTGGCATGCCCAGTCAGCACCCAGAGACTTTGCAAAAGCGAGTGGAGTATGAGGTTGAGTGCTTCTCGCGTGCACCGCCCCATGTCTCCTCTCCGTGTGCTTAAGGTGCCTAGACAAGAGGTGGGAGGGGTGCCGGCCCCCCAGCCCAAAGACCAAATGCCCTGTGGGCCAAGGACCTGGATGCAGGCCAGAAATTATTAGGGCCATCAGCAGCCGAATTCACCGGAAAAAGATGTTTCTCAAGGCGAACACACACGTAAGAGACCAGCTCCCTTTCTGCCCTGGTCTAATGACTCCTTTCATGAAACCATCTCTGAAATGTTATCTGCATTTACACCCAAACTCACTCTCTTTGATCTTTGAAACGCGAATCAAAGATCACATTGTACCTTTACTTGGGTCTGTGGGGCTTTCAGCCACCTCCGCCAAAAATAATAAAAGTGGCACCCAGCCAGGAAACGCCTCCTTGAAGTGTGAATGAAACTTGTATTTTTCGGTTGTATCTTTCCTAATTGACCTGATAATTTAAACTTCCTGCCTCAAAGGAGCGGGGGAGTTCCTGGACAATTTGGCTTACCTCAGGCACTAGGCAGCTCAGGCCAACTCAAGGCGGGTCAGCAGAGAGCAGGCAGCAGGCTTGTGTAAAAAACTAATAGGCCAGCCTATCAGAAATCACCATTTTTGATTCAAATTGCTTTCTTTCATTCAGGCCATCTTCTATGTATGTATATATTTTTAATTGTGGTAAAATATACATAACAAAATTCACTCTTTTAAAACCATTTCTAGGTGTACAATTCAGTGGCATTAAGTATATTCACACTGTTGTGCAACCTTCACCACCACCCATCTCCAGAACTTTTTCATCACCCCAAACAGAATTGTATCCATTCTAATTCCTCACCGCTACCTCTGTCCCAGCCTCTGGTAACCTCTATTCCAATTTGTCTATGTTAATTTACTTACTCTAGGTATCTCATATCTAAGTGGAATCATACATTATTTGTCATTTCACTTAGAATAATGTTTAAGAGGTTCACGGTGTAGCACCTATCAGAATTTTTGTTCCTTTTTAAGGCTGAATAATATGCAATAATATGTACATACCACGTTTTGTTTTTAGGTATATACCTAGGAGTGGAATAGCTGAATCATATGGTAATCCTATGTTTAACTTTTTGAGAAACTGCCAAACTTTTCCATAGCGGTTGCATCATCTTATGTTCCCACCAGCAATGCACAAGGGTTCCAGTTTCTCCACATCCTCACAAACACTTATTCTTTTCTGGGTTTGTTTATTTGTTTGTGTGTTTTTGATAATAGCCATCCTAATGGGTGTGAAGTGGTATTGCATGGTTTTAATTTTAACGATGACTGAAATTCAGCATCCTTTCATGTGTTTATTGGCCATTTGTATATCTTCTTTGGAGAAGTTTCTGTTCAAGTCCTTTGCCCATTTTTTAATTGGGTTTTTTTGTTTTGTTGTTGGTGAGTTGTAGGTGTTCTTTGTAAATTTTGGATATTAATCCCTCATCAGATATATAATTTGTGAATATTTTCTCTCATTCTGTGGCTTATTTTTTCAGTCTCTTGATGGTTTCCTTTGAGGCACAAAACTTTTAAATTTTGATAAAGTCAAATTACCCATTTTTTCTTTTGTTATTTTGGTGTCATATCCAAATCATTGCCAAATCCAATGTCATGGAAATTTTCCCGTTTTTTTTTTTCCTAAGAGTTTTATAGTTCTAACCCTTATGTTTAGGGCTTTGATCCATTTGAGTTATTTTTTATACAACTTGGTTTAAGATAAGGGTCCAACTTCATTTTTTTGCATGTGGATATCCAGTTTTCCCAGTATCATTTGTTGAAAAGACGGTCCTTTTCCCATTGAATAGTCTTGGCACCCTTGTCAAAGATCAATTGACAATATAAGCATTGGTTTATTTCTGGGATCTCTATTTTATTCCATTGGTGTCTATGTCTGTCACTATGTCATACAATCTTGATTACTGTAGCTTCATAATAAGTTTTGAAATCAGGAAGTTTGAATCCTCCAATTTCACTCATTTTTTCCAAGATTATTTTGGTTATTGGGGGTCCTTGAGATTCCACATGAATTTTAGGATGGGTTTCTCTATTTCTGAAAAAAACAAAACAAAACACTGTTGGGATTTTGATGGGGATTGCCTTTAATCTGTATATCACTTGGTATAGTATGGATATTTCAATGATATTAAGTCTTCCAGTCCATGAGTATGGGATGTCTTTCCATTTATTTAAGTCTTCTATAATTTCTCTCAGTGATGTTTTGTAGTTTTTAGTGTGCAAGTCTTTTGCTTCTTTAGTTAAATTTATTCCCATATATTTTATTCTGCTTGATGTTATTATAAGTAGGATTGTTTTCTTAATTTCCTTTTCAGATTGCTCATGGTTGGTGTATCGAAATGCAGCCTATTTTTGTGTGTTAGTTTTATATGCCTCAACTTTGCAGACTGTATTTATTAGCTCTAGCAGTGTTTTTGTGGACTCTTTAGAGTTTTCTACATAGAAGATCATGTCACCTGTGAACAGATACTTTTACTTCTTCCTTTACAGTTTGAATTTCTTTATTTCTCTTTCTTGTCTTATTGCTCTGGCTAGGACTTTTAGCACTAAGTTGAATAGAAGTGGCAAGAGCAGGCATCCTTGCCTTGTTCCTGATCTTAGAGGCAAAGCTTTCAGTTTTCACCACTGAGTGTGATGTTGGCTGTGGATTTTTTGCATATGGCCTTTATCATATTGAGGAAATGTCCTCCTATTCTTAGTTTATTGAATGTTATATCATGGAAAAGTATTGAATTTTGTCATGCTTTTTTCATATCAATTGATATGACCATGTTTATTTCCTTCTTTCTATTGATATGGTATATTACATTGATCTTGAAATATATTAACAGGGAAGGACATTTTCACCCACACAGTTACTCTGTGTATATCTTCACAGCTTACTCTGCTGAGCCCACCAAGTGTCCAGAATGTGAATGCAAGGTTCTCATTGGATGATGAAGCAGGAGTCAGCCCATTTCACAGATGGAGAAGCTAGACTTCATAAAGGCCAAGATTTGCCGGAGGGATGATAAACTTGAGAGTCCCAACCCAGCTTGCAGCCCCTCCTTTGGGAATGCACCCACTTGTGTTGTGTTCCAGATGTGAGTGTTTGAATTAGGAGGTCCAGAGGCAGTGGTCAGGCAGGGCGCATTGGAACAAGGACTTCAGCTCTGAAGTGTTCAAGGTTGATGTTGGCACTGTGTCCCCAGGGCAAAAGGGCAACAAGGAAGCAGGAACATGCAGAGAGGTGACGCCAGCTGCTTGAGGACTGTCAGCCTCTGGCAGCCTATCTGTTCTTCTTGCACCTGGACCTTCATTAGGGGCCTTTCCCAGAGGCCATTGGTGGATGCCTGAGCCCAGAACCAGGAATACCAGGGTCTCTCTGTTCAGCCAGCACCTTTCTCATTCTACCAAAAGTTTCCCTGAAAATATAGAGCTGAATCCTTTGGTGCCTTCTCAAAGGTCGTACTTTCCAGAAAGGGTCTGTTTCCTCTTCTGGTAGGGCTGTGCCCTAAGTGATTAGCACGGATGCCTCAGAGACCCTTCCAGTTTAGCCAGGTGGCTGGGCACATGAGCCTGGTACCTCTGGGGTTCATTGTGCTTCAGCCTTGTTATGGACTGAAATGTTTCTATCCCCCTAAAATTCATACATTGAAATCCTAACCCCTAATGTGATCGTATTAGGAGGCATGGCTTTTAGAGCCTTCATGAATGAGATTAGTGCCCTTAGGTTATAAAAGAGACCTTACACACCTCCCTCATTCCTTCTGCCACGTGAGGACCCAGGGAGAAGTTGGCTGTCTATAAACCAGAAAGTAGGTTCTTACCAGACATCATATCTGCTCGTGCCTTGATCTTGGACTTCCCAGCATCCGGAACTGAGAGGAATAAATTTCTGTTGCTTATAAATCACCCAGTCTATGGTATTCTGTTACAGCAATCTGAAGTAAGACAAGCTTTTGGAAATCATTGTTGTCTTTGTCAGTTTCTTTACATTCTTTCTCTTTTTAAATTGAGGTAAGATTTACTTCAATGAAATACACAGGTCTTAAAAGCACAGTTCCATAAATTTTGTGCACTAAGCCACCACCACACACAATTAAGCTATAGAACATTCCATTACCCAGAAAGTATTTCCATCCCTCATAGGCCTTGTTCTGATTTCTACTGCATAGCTTTATTTTGCCTGTTCTGGAACTTCTTAACCATGGAATCCTATAGCATGGACTCCGTGTTTGACCCAGTATTTGTAAGATTCACCTATGTATGGTTGCAAGTGTCTCATTTGTTACTGTT